TCCATCCTATTCACAGTCCCACCTGAACTGCAAGGGAAAGAAACTATAAAAGGCTGATTGCAGGGGTTCTGGGTTTGATGAAATAACTGAGGCTATAGCCAATTCAGTGCCTCAGAAAAGCCATCACAATCCTAAAATGTAAAGTTAATATGTGGCTTGAATTTTAGTGTAACTTTTATTGTGACCTTCATTTGTGGAAACTGATGTTCTCTGTGTTTGTGAAGGTTTACCATGCACAGGCGTACCTCAGATATGCTGCAGGTTCGGTTCTAGACCACAACAATAAAATGAGTAATGGGATAGAGCAAGCTGCAATCTTTTTGCTGGTGGAGGGTTTGTCCTTCAATTAGTAAAAAGGCAACATCAATGAAGCACAATAAGCAAAGCACAATGAAATGAGGTATGCCTGTATATATTTGAAGAAGCCCACTAAATTGATTGGAGTGATTTATTCATTTTTTGGTTATCCCATTTTATACACAGTGGTAAGAGAAATGAAGTGGTGGGATTTTATAATATTTCAGCTTGGCAACAAAATTTAAATAGTCTATTAATAACATTCCCTTGCCTTTTCGCTAAAGGGGTTTATCTTCCTGGGAGCCACTCGACCTGACCACGAATTGGGAGAGAGTAATGGGCACAGTTGTCAGTGATAGAGTGAGTGGAATGACAGCATGGATGCCCTTGGTTTATTTTTCTTAATCCTGAGGTGGAATACTATCTGATATTGTTCTTAGTACTTTTTAAGCTTTATTTATTTTTTAGTGTCATTTAAATTTATATCTCAAGGGGACCTTAGGGAAATATCTTGCCTCCTTCTCCCATTGGGGAACAAGAGTAAAAGCCATCTGACAGTACTACCACACCAACTCAACAGCTTAATGGGAATATAAGGGGTTTCATAGAAAAAGGTTGGGTTTCTCCCCATAATCTCATTTGGTTTTTGAACAATCCTCCAACTCTTTTCACCTTAACAAGTTAGAGACAGGTAACACATTCATGTGAATTACAGCAGAGATTTGTAGCAGTGATTTTAAACTGAGAGAATCATGGGCAACACCACCAACCTGCTCTTCCCTCCCTCCAAACACACAAACACACACATACACTTACCATGGGGAATATATTAAAATCTTGGGGTGGAATCTGAGTGCGTGAAGTTTGAATAAACCCTGGTGATTCTGATAGGCTTCATTTAAGAATGGCTTAGACCATATTTTGTGTTCTGTAATCCTACCTTCTTCTGTCATTCAAATATCTCTCACACTTATTTCTGCACAGAGGCTTGGAGTCATCTAGGCTATTTTGCCATCTAATTCAGGAATTGCTTCTATCACACCCCAGGTAATTGGTCATTCAAACCTTTTACCTACACGCTTGACATGATGAGACTGTTACTTCCTAAAAGTCTCTTATCAGGCCGTTCCAGTTCTGTACGTCAAGCTAAAGTTTGCAACCCTGCAAGTTCCCACTTACTAGGAGGGCTATAGTGTTTCTCTCCCAAATTTATTCTTCTCTAAGGAAAACCCGCCTCCCCACCATCAAAAACCATCCCAGCTAGTTTCCCAAGAGCTGAGGTGGTCACCCAGATGGCCTCTTCTTATTCACCTGATTTAAGAGTCCTCCATTTTCTCTTTTTTGTTAATCCTCACTTTAAACCCCCCAAAATTTTTTTTTTTCCCTTTTTTTTTTTTTTTTTTTTTTTTTTTTAGAGAGAGAATGGAAGATGGAAATGTGGAAGGGAAAGAGGGATAAAGGGAGAGAAAAAGAAAGAGAGAGGGAGGGAGAGAGAAAGAGAATCATCCATGTGACAAGACACATCCAGCACATGCTCTGAAGGGGGTGGGGATCAAACCTGCAATCCAGCTACATATCTTTGTCTGGGAATCAAACCAAGGACCCTTCCCTGCTCAAACTGATGCTCTAACCACTTAGCGACTCCTGCCAGGGCAAGATTACTCAATTTTCTGCACAAAACTACATTAGGTACTTAGCCTCAGCAGCTCCCAGTTTAAAATAGAGCATCATTCCAACTCTAAGTGTGAAGGTTGTGGACAGTTCTTCCTGGTCACTGCTCAGCTTTACGGGGTCCTTTGGTCTCAGGGACAGCTGACAACCTTATTTAGCCAACCAGCTGCCCTGTGGTACACAGTGTCCCCAATGCTCTAAGTCTAGTGGGTGATTCTTTCATATCTATATAAGCAGCAGTTGGAGGAGAACCCAACAGTCCCTTTAGTAGCCTTAGGGTATCTATTAAACCCCTTCTGTTTGCAGGGTTGAATGGGAAGTCTTAGAGGAGGGAATACTTAAAAAACTCTCTGATTTTAAAGAAATGATAATGTTGAGGGAAAGAGGTTTACACAAGGAAACCATGAAAAGTTACATAGTATATAATGCACTGAGAGTGGAAATCTTATTTGCTGGGTTTTATTGCTATGAGGATGGAGTCGATGGAGGAGATGCCATGGGTAGAGGATTTGGAGAAGTGGGGTATTGTGGTGGGAAATTGCTTTCTTCTCCAGCAGGTAAGAGAAAAACAACCAAAGGAGCAGACAGGCTATGCAGCCCATTAGAGTAGCCACCAGAGACTGACTTTGTGACAAGAGAGTTCATCATTTAGGATAAATGTTACTGGCAGTTTTACAAGGTCTTTGCTTCAGTTTGAATGTTGTGCCTGTGTCATTCAGTGAGATATTGAAGGAAAGTGAAGGGATTAGTCAAAAGCTCTATATGCATAACACAGACCACTGTGTGGTGATAGCCAGAGGTAAAGGGGGAGTGGAGTGTAGGTGGAGGTTGTCAGAGGGAAGAGGGAATGGGGAACAGAAGGATGCAGAGTGTAGAGATATTTCATTGAGTTGTACACTTCAATGCTGTATAGTTTTGGGAACCAATTTTATTCTTATCAATTCAATTTCTTTCTTTTTCTTTAAATAAGGCCTTGTTTATGCTGTGGCTTGGAGCCACATTTTGAATCCTTTTTTTTTTTCAAACAGGAGAGGACCGTGGAGGGAGGGGCGGGGACAGTGAAGACCCAGTGAGGGAAGGAACACACTCCAAGCCTCTCATGGAGAGGGGGGACCTGACCCTAGTGCGGGGTGGTGGTGGTGGAGGCAAGGCTTGCCCTGGAAGCCTGGCCTTAGTCACCTCCTGGCTGGGGGTCTCCGAGGAGCCTCAGAGAATGAGGATGAGTCCCTGAAT